TCACCACTCTAGTTGTTCGTCTCGGTATTGGTATACTCCACTGTACCCCCCCCCTCTCCTTTTTGTTGGTAATGTGATGATCATGGAACACACCTGCTGGTGTGATAGGACATCCTGTCTGCTGATTCTCACATACAGCAATCCTGATGCAGTACATTGTCAAAATGAAGGTGTTTCTCACAGCCACCAATCGGAACCAAAACTGCATTGAAATGTTAAATGTGATTAGTGATGCAGAGAGAGAGAGGGGCTAAGTCACAGCGTAGGCTTATGAAGTGCATTCCCACTATGTTAAAAAGTAAAATAAATTCAGTTTCCACTGCTTGAAATTTTGTTCTTTTATTATATAAATGCAAATGTCCCGGTTTGACTTGAACCCCTTCCCATTTCATGCTGTCACCACATGGAAGAGAAATGTCACAAGGCCTGCGAAAGAAAATAATTTATTTGCGCAAGAAAGGTGAAGGCTACAAGATCAGCAAAGTTTTACTTATCAGTCAGAATACTGTAGCAAAAGTGATACAAAAACTTAACAAAGAAGAAACTGCAACCATCTCACAGAGATGTACAGGCCTTCCACGGAAGTTCACACCTTGACAGGAGTGTCTTCTGATGAGAAGGGTTGAATAAAATTGCGATGCTAGTTCACTGCAGTTAGCTAAAGAAGTAGAAAGCCAAACTGAGGTGATTGTGTCCTGTGAAACAAAATGGCGTACACTGTAGAGGAATGACACACATGGGTGTCGTTCATGAAGGAAGCCTCTCCATGCACAAAAAAAGCTTGCCTAGAGTTTTCCAAAACCTGTGCTGAAAAGACTACTGGGAGTCTGTACCCTGGATTGATGAGACCAAGATAAATGTTTGTGGAACTGATGGCTTCAAAACTGTATGGAGTCGCAAAGTTGAGGAGCACAAAGAAAAATGCATGGTGCCTACAGTGAAACATGGTGGTGGCAGTGTCCTCCTGTGGGGCTGCATGAGTGCTGCTGGTGTCCTTACAAATCTACATGATTTGTAAGGACAGCACCAAGTCTTCTAGGCATGAAATTAATAAGTTGGCGACATATTGCAACATCTATCTTTTTCCATTCTTCAAGAATGACCACTTTTAGAGCCTGAATGCTGGATGGAGAGTGATGCTCAACTTGTCTCTTCAGAATTCCCCATAGGTGTTCGATTGGGTTCAGATCAGGAGACATACTTGGCCACTGAATCACTTTCACCCTGTTCTTCTTCTATTGCAACAGTTGCCTTAGATATGTGTTTTGGATCAATGTCATGTTGGAAATGTGCATGGCAAGATGGTAGCATCTTCTCTTTCAATATAGAGCAGTACATCTGTGAATTCATGATACCATCAATGAAATGCAGCTCCCTGACACCAGCAGCTCTCGTGCAGCCCCACACAAGGACATTACAAACAACATGTTTCACTGTAGGCACCATGCATTTTTCTTTGTACTCCTCACCTTTGCCATACAGTTTTGAAGCCATCAGTTCCAAAACATTTATCTTGCTCTCATCACTCATCTCATCCCAGTAGTCTTCTTTTTCATCATGGGCCCTGGCAAATTCTAGGTGGGCTTTTTCGTGTGTGGGCTTTAGGAAAGGCTTTCTTCGTGGATGACACTCATGCATGCCATTCCTCTGCAGTGTACACTGTATTGTGTTACCGGAAACAATCACCCCAGTTTGGCTTTCTACTTCTTTCCCTATCTTCTTAACCATCTCTCTGAGATGGTTGCTGTATCATCTTTGTTACATTTTTGTATCACTTTTGCTACAATATTCTGAGTGATAAGTAAAGCTTTGCTGATCTTCTTGTAGCCTTCACCTTTCTTGTGTAAAGAAATTATTTCTTTCTCAGGCCTTGTGATATTTCTCTTCCATGTGGTGACAGCATGAAATGGGAAGGGGTTTTCTTTGTTAAGTAATGCCCTTTTATAATCAGCTGTCGGCTGGACACCTGTTTAACAAGAATTCAACTACAGGTGAGTCTAATTTATTCATTAATTAGGATTTTTTGTGTAAAATTTAGCTTTGCTCCTAAAGCTGGCCATACATGGGTCGAATTCCGAAAGAATTTTCTTTAGAACGTCTTTTCTAAGAATTTAGGAAACAGCAATTTTCGTATGACCATCAAATTTGAGTGATTGGGCATGTTGGAAATTTTTTGAAGACTGAACGAATTTCGAATCCATCATGGGAGAATCGTGCAAGAAATATAAATAAAAAAAAGAAATGAGCATGAGCTGTGACCTGGAAAGAAAAGAAAATTCTTGGGCAAAAAAAATTATTTTCTGTAGTAACAGGAGGTGAAATTGAAAGCTTGGTTGAATTTCAAAATCAATGGTGGGCCATTGAATTACAAAACTCACTAAATTTCTTTTTTTCTAAAGAAAATTTGTTCCGAGTTTGATCCATGTATGGCCTGCATAAGACTTTCATTGGGGTGTATTCATTTTTGCAACATGGTCTTGAATGAATTTGTTAGGAAAAATACTTCTTTGTGTGCGCAAATTAACAAATCTTGTTTGCAATCAATGGCCCGCATTTGTGGGAGTATGTTGTAGTATAGCGTCCCATTAGAAAATGTATATTCTGAAAGGAACGTAAAGGTTTTCTGACAATTCTGTTGGGGTGTAGTCATTTATGATGAGCAGTGTATGTGTGTATATATAGTGAGGAACAGAAGTATTTGAACACCCTGCGATTTTGCAAGTTCTCCCACTTAGAAATCATGGAGGGGTCTGAAATTCACATTGCAGGTGCATTCCCACTCTGAGAGACAGAATTTAAAAAAAAAAAAATCAGGAAATCACATTTTATGATTTTTAAAGAATTTGTCTTGCACTGCTGAACATAAGTATTTGAACACCTGAGAAAATCAGTGTTAATATTTGGTACAGAAGCCTTTGTTTGCAATTACAGAGGTCAAACGTTTCCTGTAGTTCTTGACCAGGTTTGCACACACTGCAACAGGGATTTTGGCCCACTCCTCCACACAGATCTCCTCTAGGTCTGTCAGGTTTCGGGGCTGTCGCTGAGCAACACGGAGTTTCAGCTCCCTCCAAAGATGTTCTATTGGATTTAGGGCTGGAGACTGGCTAGGCCACTCCAGAACCTTGATATGCTTCTTACGGAGTCACTCCTTGGTTATCCTGGCTGTGTGCTTCGGGTCGTTGTCATATTGGAAGACCCAGCCACGACCCATCTTCAATGCTCTGACTGAGGGAAGGAGGTTGTTGTTCAAAATCTCACAATAAATGGCCCCATTCATCCTCTCCTTAATACAGTGCAGTCGTCCTGTCCCCTTAGCAGAAGAGCACCCCCAAAGCATGATGTTACCACCCCCATACTTCACAGTAGGGATGGTGTTCTTGGGATGCAACTCCTCCTTCTTTTTCCTCCAAACACGACGAGTGAAGTTTAGACCAAAAAGTTCTACTTTGGTCTCATCTGATCACATGACTTTTCTCCCATGCCTCCTCTGGATCATACAGATGGTTATTGGCAAACTTCAGACGGGCCTGGACATGTGATGACTTGAGCAGGGGAACCTTCCATGTAATGCATGCTTTGAAACCATGACGGCGTTGTGCTCTACCGACAGTGACCTTTGAAACTGTGGTCCCAGCTCTCTTCATGTCATTGACCAGCTCCTCCCTTGTAGTTCTGGGCTGATTCCTCACCTTTTCTTATCAGTGATACCCCACAAGGTGAGATCTTGCATGGAGCCCTAGTCCGAGGGAGACTGACAGTCGTCATTAGCCTCTTCCATTTTCTAACAATTGCTCCAACAGTTAATCTATTTTACCAAGCTGCTTGGCAATTGCCCCGTAGCCCTTTCCAGCCTTGTGGAGGTCCACAATTTTGTCTCTGTTGTCTTTTGACAGCTCTTTGGTCTTGCCCATGGTAGTAGTTGGTGTCTGACTGACTGTGGGGTGGACAGGTGTCTTTAAAGAGCTCAGACAGGTGCTACTAAGTTAGATTAATGAGTGGAGTAGAGATGGACTTTTTAAAGGCACAGTAACAGGTCTTTGAGAGCCAGAATTCTTGCTGTTTGTTAGGTGTTCAAATACTTATGTTCAGCAGTGCAAGACAAATAAATTCTTTACAAATCATACAATGTGATTTCCTGAATTTTTTTTTAAATTCTGTCTCTCAGAGTGGGAATGCACCTACAATGTGAATTTCAGACCCCTCCATGATTTCTAAGTGGGAGAACTTGCAAAATCGCAGGGTGTTCAAATACTTCTGTTCCTCACTGTATATTTATTTATTTGTGTGTGTGTGTATGTATATAAAATACGTACACACACACTTTTGCCAAGAGTACTGGGACACCTGCCTTTACACACACATGAACTTTCATGGCATCCCAGTCTTAGTCCGTAGGGTTCATTATTGAGTTGGCCCGCCCTTTACAACAATTATAACAGCTTCAATGCCTCTGGAAAGGCTGTCCACAAGGTTTAGGAATGTGTCTATGGCAATGTTTGACCATTCTTCCAGAAGCGCATTTGTGAGGTCAGGCACTGATGTCGGACAAAAAGTTCTGGTTCGCAGTCTCCACTCTAATGCATCCCAGAGGTGTTCTACTGGGTTGAGATCAGGACTCTGTGCAGGCCAGTCAAGTTCCTCCACCCCAAACTCGCTCATTCATGTATTTATGGACCTTGCTTTGTGCACTGGTACGCAGTCATTTTGGAATAGGAAAGGCCATCCCCAAACTGTTCCCACAAAGTTGGGAGCATGAAATTGTCCAGAATGTCTTGGTATGCTGACGCCTTAAGAGTTCCCTTCACTGGAACGAAGGGGCCAAGCCCAACCCCTGAAAAACAACCCCACACAATAATCCCCCCTTCACCAAACTTTACACTTGGTACAATGTAGTTAGGCAAGTACCGTTCTGGCAACTGCAAAAACCCAGACACATCCATCGTATTTCCAGACAGAGAAGCGTTATTGGTCACTGCAGAGAACACGTCTCCACTGCTCTAGAGTCCAGTGGCGGCATGCTTTACACTATAGCATCCGACGCTTTGCATTGCACTTGGTGATGTAGGGCTTGGATGCAGCTGCTCAGCCATGGAATCCCATTCCATGAAGCTCTCTATGCACTGTGGTTGTGCTAATCTGAAGGCCACACGACATTTGTAGGTCTTTAGCTATTGACCCTGCAGACAGTTGGCGATTTCTGTGCACTGTGCACTTCTGCATGTGCTGACCCCTCTCTGTTATTTTACGTGGCCTACCACTTTGTGGCTGATTTGCTGTTGTTCCCAGTTGCTTCCACTTTGTTATAATACCACTATCAGTGGAGCGTGGAATATTTAGTAGCAAGGTAATGTCACGGATGGACTTATTGCACAGGTGACAACCTATCACGGTATCACGCTTGAATTCACTGAGCTCCTGAGAGTGACCCATTCTTTCACAAATGTTTGTAGAAGCAGTCTGCATGGGTGCTTGATTTTATATCTCTAAAATAATAATTAAATCTGCGCTATGGTCTATAATAAATTAAGTGGATATAATCCATGTAAGCAGCCAACACAATATTGCAGGTTATTATATATAAAAAGGGCAGCGCTAAGATTAAAAATTCAAAAACATGATAAACACAACAAAAGTCCAATCCAGAAGGCTTGAAACATATGAGAGGAAAGTTCATCAATGAAGGATCCACAACAATCCTGTAGATTCCCATGAAGTCACCAAGAGGAAAAGAAGCTCCTTCACCAGCACCAAACACACTGCCTCTTACCAGATAATATTGACCCCCCAATTAAGGAAAGGGCAATGCAAGATTTGTGCATCCCAGAAGCAAAACAATAAGCTTCTGAACTTCTTTGAATCCTGGTCTTCAATATAAAGTGACTCTGGGATGGACCTAAAATGAATATTATCCTCATAGAGGACAAACAATTCAATTCAAAGGTAAAAAGGAATCCTCATAGTGTAGTATTTTGAGAAAGTTTAATGCCTCAACTGTAATAAAACATGTACATCATAAATCATAAAAAACAGCATGTCACCATATCCATTGGTGGTTTGTTTCCATCCAACAGGATGGCCGCCACGTTCCGGTGCACGATGATGTCATACGCTCCAACTCCTCCCTATGCGTTTCATCATCAATGATGTTGTCTGGGGCATTGATTTTATAAGCCTGTGGCCATGGATGTGATAGGAACACCTGCATCCGATGATTTGGAGGGGGTTTCCCAATACTTTTGCCGATATAGTGTGTATATTAGAATCAATTTAAATCCAAATTTCTATACCAAAAATAGGAGATTTACTAGAAGCTGATTGGCTACCATACACAGCTGCACCAAATTTTGAGTGCTCCAGTTATAGTAATTCTCCCCCACAATTTTTTCAAAAAGCCAATGTTCACGATTGCTGAAGTTCTTATTCATGAATAAATATTAAGTATGGTTTTTCCTGACTGAGGATCACATTAAGGCCTCTTTCACACAGGTGGACGGATTGGGTCCACCTGTCAGTTTTTTTTAAGTGGACCCAATCAGAACTTCCATTGTCCTCTATGGAGCAGCAGGTGTAAACAGACGTGTCCGTTTACACCTGCTGACATCTGATCTGATCCTACCCACTAAAAAGAGATGGATGGGCATCTGTTTCCCATCTGTCTAGTGCAGGGGTGTCAAACTGTTGATCCTCCAGCTGTTGAGAAACTACAAGTACCATCATGCCTCTACCTTTTGGGAGTCATGCTTTTAACTGTCAGTCTTGCAATGCCTCATGGGACTTGTAGTTTGGCAACAGCTGGGGGGCCGCCAGTTTGACACCTGTGGTCTAGCGGATTGGATCACGTGGCCGTTGGGTGTAAACGAACACATGGTCCATTTACATCCGACTGCCCCATAGAGAACAGCAGCCTGTGTCCGTGTCTACTCTGCACAAGCGGAGTGTGGACACAGACCTGTCATCCACCTGCTCAGTGGGGATCAGCGGACCTGTTAATATTGAAACCCGGAAGAAAGCTAGCATAGCTTGTTTCCCTGTTTGGAAATACCGCAATGTTAGAATTGGAGGCTGCCAATTGACTCCTGGGATTGATGACACATATATCCTAGGAGCCAACGGGAGACCGAATATGATGTACCTCGCTGCGGCGAGCTACAGTGAAAGTGGACCTGACCAAAAAAGTAATTAGCTCTGGAAAAAAAAAAAACATTCTGATGATTAATGGCAATGTGATCAGCAACAGGGGTTGGGGACAGCTAAACTTACAAAAGTGTGTGGAACTCAGAGTTCAAGAGAAATGGCCGTGCAAGCCCTGACAGTACTTTGGAATAATGCAATAGAAATGATGTATTGATCACGCTGTGCTGACATCCATCTCCATTTCTCCACTGTAAACATAAGAGTCTGAAAATGTGTCCAGAATGGTCAGCTGCTCTCATTTAAAGTCAAAGTCCAGTAAAACAACTCAATCTGGTGTAATATTTAAATTGAAAAACACAGTATTGCCTTGTGAATGCCTGTCAGCTGTGTCTCCACCGCTCTCTGAAAAGTGATTATAATGCGGATCATTCTTCAGAGAACAACAAAGGTTTAAATGAACCACAAGTAATTACTGGAGCCCATATAAAAACAGATTAAGGTACTCTTTGAAATATTTTTAATAAATATATAAATAGAATTATTTTATATCTGCATCATGGCTCTGTGCACAATACTGTTAATGGAACACCCTGCAATCTACTACTCTTCTAATCTTTCCCCTTAGAGTGTACGTATTGCCAAAACCTTTTTTTGTTTTAGCGTGGGTAAAGCAGAGGAACAATTAAAATGACTATTATTTTTTGCTGTCTGTGTCCCACGGGGGGAGATTTCCACTTTTTTTTAATAAGAAATGTGATGTAATCTCCCCAAATTGGAGAGAACTTGTCTGACTGATGGTCTATCATGGTTTTTTCGAAGTGCTTTGAGTCTTAATAAACAGCTTGGTTGTTTTGTATTTCTTGCTGACTGCCTCATTCATGTACGTGCATTTATCTTTTTTATGCTTGTACCCTATACAGGGGTGGACTGACAACTCATGGGGCCCCCGGGCAATAGGGGATCATGGGGCCCCTGTGTCCTTGCTCACACTCCAACCACACCCAAAAAAGCCTATGAAAGGTACCAGGGACATCTCATGGGGCCCCTACTGACCCCAGGCCCTTGGGCAGTGCCCGAGTTCCCCAATGGTCAGTCCGCCTCTGAGCCTATAATACTGTTATTCACCTATGTGCCTTTTTCTTGGGGTGTTTTATTCCTCAAGAGGTTACATTGTTCTTGTTGTCTATCCCTTAATAAAAAAAGTTTGTAAAAAAAATAAAAAATTGGAGAGAACTTCAGTTTTAGTTATCCCTGAACATCTTTGCTCCTATTAACCCCTAGACACTGAGAGCACACAAATTTGCGCGGCCTCTCGGCGTCTGGGCCTTGTGTGCAATTAGAAAATACATATGTGCTGAGAGCACATGGCCTGGGAGCTCCCAGCACATATGTCAGTCACTCACTGAACGGTCCCGATCTCCCCTTGCGATCGAGACCTTTTCCGATCATGTGACCGCCATGACAGCGAATCACGGCAGTCACATGACCCTAAAACCCTGCTCCGCCTCTGACTCTTAAAGGGCCGTGAGGCGTCGGCTCAAAGGGGTTGAATTATTTACCCTCAATACCTAGTCTGGTAACAACTCTAAAATTTTGGATTTTCCCTCATTTATTATCTCAGTGACAGTGTCACCAGGATGAAAAGAGAAGTCAGTCTCCCGAGCAAGGACAAAGACAGCAATACAAACCTTATTAATATGGATTCAATAAAATAAAAAACTTTAGGTATCACAACTGTATATGTAAAAAGAATTGTACATAAATACCATTTTACTTATTACAAAATATGTGCTTCTACTGTAAGCCAGAAAAGACCACAATAAAATAAAAACACTTAATGAAAAAAAAAACCTACTTTAAGAGAGCCCCTTATATAAAACCTAATATTCCACGTGAACTTGCATGTAGAATGTTATATCAAAATTATATCTTTGTCAGAAGGATGTCCCTAGAGGATCACAGTTAGGTAAGCATAACGCATAAATCATACTTTCAGGATTCCCAGAGGAATTTGCATCATTCTTGGTTATAATGTCAAGAGACAAATGTGCAAAGACAGCACATAATAAATTAGTTCCAATGCTGCATTTTTCTATCACAATACAAAGCCAAAGCTTCACCTCTTACATGTAATACCAATTATGTATAACAAAAGTATGTTAAAGTTCTTTACAGTATTGCAAGGCACACCACAATACATCACCCAACTGCAGTTCCTTAGAAATAACATGTCATCCAAATACCAAAAATGTTCCGCCTAAAAGAGCAGAGATGGTCACTTCTGTGGTCCATGAGGCATCCAAAGGGCTCAACTGGGGCTAAAAAAGCACCACGTGTGTAATGGGATTTGTCATTGCAATGACAAGTTTTTCAGAGAACGCGACTTGTGTTTCCAAATTCTCTTAGGAATCATGAAAGGAAGACTTCTACAATAAACTAACCTACTTGGGATCGACTGAGGAGGTATACAGTCATCCATGGGAATTTCTACAAAGAGTTCAGCATTGGAGTGAATATAAATTATTGTAATATTGGACGTAACATTAAAACAGTATTAAACCCAAAACAAGATGTAATACCTGTATATAGCAGATTACCAATTTTTAGATGTGGTGGCTGCATTTTTTTCTCTTTATTTTCCACCTGTTGATCCTGACAGTGATGGGAGTCACTTTGGGTGGGGGGCTCATGGAACCCAGCTTACTTTGCAGAGGTTGGGAGACCACTGTCTCAGCTCCTCATATCCCTCTTTTGTGCAAGTCACCCTGTGTCTCTTAGGGGCACAGGGTGACTAATTGACGCTGAGAATGTGGTTGGAATTACTTCAGATGGGACAGTAATATTTATCAGCCATATGAAGACTATTCCTGGTTGTTGATTCTGAACTAGACATGTGAATTGAAAGAGCTGATCACGCTGGCCTCTCCTGTACTCCAGTGTAGGAGCCGGACCGTCTGCTCTGTAGTGAGATCCTAATTCATCAAACCATTGTCTAGGTGTGAATTCCCATTCACCTTTTGTTTCAGTCATCCAGCTAGCTAACCTAATTAACTTACTGTTTAGATTGTTAAGTCTATTTCTGTATATAGCTGTGTTTGCATATGATTGGGCAGCACAGTGGCTAAGTGGTTAGCACTTCTGCCTGGCAGTACTAGGGTCGCCGGTTCAAATCCCAACCACGGCACCACCTGCCTGGAGTTTGCATGTTCTCCCTGTGCCTGTGTGGGTTTCCTCCAGGTACTCCAGTTTCCTCCCACACTCCAAAGACATGCTGGTAGGTCAATTGGCTCCTGTCTAGATTGGCCCTAGTATGTGTATGTATGAATGTG